CTGTCAAGGACAAGGGCTAGTATCAGGTCAATGTTCTCTTTATATATAGAGCTAAATTTAGTGTTAAATCTGCTGTGAAAATTTACAGCTTGTAATATTTCCCTGACAGGCATCCAGACCCTCTTGTCCAAATATACAGTTCCTTAAATTAGGCACAAAATATGTCATGAGGCAGCAGCCTGAATTGTGTATTTACAGCACTGAAGCAGGTAAGTACATATTTATGCAGCCAATTCTGAATTCTTATTTAAAAAAAAAAAGTGGACTGGCTTGTTCAATGTATTTTTTAGAATCCTGACAGAGTGGTTAAACACTCCCGGGTCTGGGATCTCCCTGGGCCAGGGGCTGTCCCTGTATTGTCTGTTTACCACGAGTTCTACACAATGAGGCTACCGTCCTTCGGGGCTGCTGCAATTGAAAGAATGAAAGTATGTGACAATAAAGAGCAACTCCCTATAAAATGACTGTGCCTAGAGATTTTTTTCTTCTTAGCAAATGTCATTGCCCCAGAACAGCTAGTATATTATTTATATAACAATTTCCTTATGGGTCGTTGTTGAATAGAACTCGAGTCCTTCCATAGCCAGAGCGAATGCCCCCATCAGTGCAGCTGGAAAATTATTTCCTTTATTCAGTGTCAGGACAGAGTTCTGTACACCAGCTAGCTTAAGAGGTGCTTCAGTTACATATAGAAAAATATAATTCCATCCTACCGCAGTTCTTCAACATCCCAGACTTACTCCTTTGGAACGCAATTCCCACAAATAGCCTTTTGAACTTGTGTGGATTTTAAATCATAAAAAAAGAGCGAAGGGAATGTCTTTGTTAGAGACAGCTCACGGCACAAATCAGGTTCACGACGTGCGGCTGTGCTTCTGCTGCTTACAGCTGCTCTTGGAGTCAAGTGGCTGCTTTGAAATGTGAATGTGGAGTATAGATTAAGTAAGAGGTTTCTGTAAAGAATGTGTCACGTTTTGGGAAGTTTATGCAGGACTGTGCCCCTCCGTGGTGCTCTGTGCCACTGGTGAGGGCTCTGTGATACAGCATGTTGTTTCAGGTATTTGATGAAAATCGAATATTACTTATTTTTAAAAGCTAGTAAATTATTTTTTTTCCTGAAGCGTTACAACCTTGTATGGCAGTAAGATTATCATCTTAGGTGTATTGCAGATGAAATCTATGTAGACTGCTTAGACTTACAGGGAAAAAGAGTACCAATGGCATGGTTTGAAGATGGTGCCTTTTAAGCACTGATCAGTTCAGCTCCATTCAATAAACAGTATAAAAATTTTAAAAAGGAAAAGGCTGGTTACTAATGGCAATTTGATGTTTTCATCACCAATACGTGTTTAAATATACGACAAGCTTTGCCAGATATTTGTGCTTTGTGTAACTGCCATCAATGAAAACTTTTCTGTGTTCTTACGGGAGCGGGGGGAGTCGGAGCCCCAGCCCCAGGAGCTATGTGTGCCTAAAGGTTCTGTTCAAAGAAATCGCTGCAATGGAAGGTGCGGATTTGGACAGCAGGACTCAGCAGCCATTGTGTTGCCTTAGGTAGTGCTCAGATTCAGACCAGTGAAGCTGTTTTACCAGTTAACTGTCTTGGAGAGCTTTTGAAAGCACCTTCTAAGGAATATTTAAAACTTCCTGAAAGAGCCCTCCTGACCATGTGAACAGCCTCTTGCCAACAGCCTGTTTCTCTTCTCCCAGAAGCCCTGCGTTTCGTCTCTGTGACCACCCTCACCTCACAGCTGGCATCCACGGTCCCCCGTTACTGCAGAACTTGCCAACCAGAATCAGTGTTCCTTCTCTGAGTCCCGACGCTGACGGAGATTCTCAGTCCAAAGAATCCATCTTCTTGTTTATGCAGCTCATCTAGGTTGACATCAGCCTCCTTCAAGGCAAGAAATATGCTTGCTTTGAGAGATGTGCATCCATTCTAACTGCTACCTTGTCTCTTTAATGTCACAGAAGTTCAAATATGAGGCTGACTTCATGCAGTCAAGACTGTCTAGAACATTTTCGTAACAGAGACTTGTGTCAAAGCATCTATTCGCTCCATGAAAAATTGAAGAGAGTGGTGCACTCTTGCTTTCCAGTCGCAAGTGACCACAAGGCTCTGAGACGAAAACAGTTTCTCAAAAAAAAAAAAAGCTTGGATAAATCAGAGACATCAGCAGAATGTGGTCCTGTGCATGTTATAATGGTTCCCAGGAGTCCCAAAGTGCTCGTTGTACGTTAATGAATTGTGCCTTGCAACACCAGAGTGCACCAGAATAAACGTTATTCGTTGACTTCCCCGACAGCAATGTACTTAAGTTCCAAACTGGATCCATATTTCAAAGGTCTCCAAGTTCAAGAGGTTTTATCACCTGGTCTATATTTCAAGTTGATCTCTTATCTTTATAAAGTTATGCTATTTTCATCATTAATATCTCCTCTTCCCAAAAAGTGTACATCTTCCTAGCGCAACCCAGCATTTCTGTTGTGCATTTGCATTTTCTATTTACTAGTAAGTGAGTGGATATCTGAGTTATTGCAGATTTTTTAGTGGTGACATTTCAGATTTTCTCACCTCTTTTCCACGGCAGCTGTGAACATCTTAGTTGTTTTAGCTTATATCTTTTCTTGAAGCAGAGGCAAAATGACTTTTGTACAGATGTACGGGATCAGAACCTACGATTATGACCTAATCAAAATGCTCAGCAAGAAAATATAAATGAGGTATTCTTCTTGTAGCCATGCGTTTGGAGCACTGCTTTCAGCAGTGACTCGACCATATGGTTTTGGACTAATGTCTGGAATAATCCAGGTAATCTACATTTTGTAAGAAAAAAATCTCAGTTATCAGTGCTGTTCTGTCTGATATTTTGTCTTGCAGAATATTTGAGCAAAGTGTTTCATATAAGGACAGGTTCTTTCAGTTTTTGTTACTGGCTGATCGGTGTTTGATTCCGCCTTCACTGAACTCAGATCAAGAGACAGAGAAGCCTGGACTCTCTCTCGAGTTTGGCTTGAGGCTTGAGCCACCAAAAAGCTAGCTAGATAGCTGTGGTGCAAATTTAGTATTGCTGAAGTGAAAACAGCTAATCAGTTAAACAGTTCAAAGCAGATATTTTGCTGCGGGGGATTATTAATCACAGCTGACATGTCTGGTAGAGTTGCGCACTTTTCTATTTGAGAAGCTCTCTCTCAAAATGCATTTCATCCAGTTCACTAGCCTGTTTTGTTGGTTCCTTCGAGTGTCATAGTTGTATATTTTGTTTGTAAATGGCTCAATATTTGAACAGATCAGACCTGTGCTTGGGGACCCGTGCCCAGTCACCTTACAGATTGGGAATTCATGTTTCCTACAGATGTCATAGGTGGTACTTGTGCATCTCAGTAGTTCCCTGTACATCAAGCTGGTCATTTCTTTCCATATATGAGCTTTGGGTTTAGAAGCACAGTAGATAATAACCATAAATTTTTCATTTACTGTAAATATTTAATAAATATGAATGATTGATGACCAGATTTTTAAGCAAACAGAGTTTCAGGAAATGATGACTACCTTTGTATAATTGTCTAAGCTGTACTCTAAATATTCTCTGGGTTTTGTTGTACTACTTCAAGAGAGTATGTATTTTGTAACACAGCACTGATAGCTGGCTGTGTTTCGGTGACTACTTTCACCTATTTTGCTTTCAATTTTTTCTAGTTGCCTTTGATCTCCCTGGGTCTCTGAAGCCAAAAGAAAAAACAAAAACAAAAACAACAACAACAACAACAACAAAAACATATAAAGCTTATCTAATTATCAGGGCTGTTGCATCTCTGAAAGATTTCATTAACCATGCTGCTTTCTGGTTCCTGCAGCCAGCTGAGCGGCTGTGTACCTCTCCTGCAGACGTTTTTGGATGTCTGACAGATTAGTGAAGAATCACTTTGCCAATAGGTGCCACTGTTGCTCTACACACATATCCGAATCATCGCTGTCCTTCAGCTGAGAATCCAACCTTGAAAAAGCAAACCTAAATCACAGTGGCTAAAACATTGCAGAGGTAAAACTCTGTACAGACCATGGTCAGAGGCTTGTCCATGCCAAGACTAAGGGATCTTCTCTATCTGGTTCCTAAAAATATTCTTGCTAATCTTGAGCAAAATTGATGAAGAGATAAATACGTGTTGAATTAATTCCAGGTATATTTAATCTAAGCCTTTAACTTGCTTTAAGTTTACTGTTGAGCCTCAGACTAATAGCAGCTGAACCCTGCAAATATCTCCTCTGGACCAAACGTGATTTAAACGCAAAAGCTGCACATCAGCGCAGTAAGAATTTGGAGTTCGGTCAGCACTTTTTACATAGATTGTTCACATTCTTTCCCAACTGAGTAAAGTATCAGGGTGACCTACCCAGCAGTATCAAGGCCACCTACAGCTATTTCCTCTAGGTTTACTCCTCGGTAATGTAAGGTCAGCTAATGGAGCTCACTTTGCAGCTTATCTGCCATTAAGCGCCAGTCAGTGTGTGCGGCCAAGGGCAATCAAGTGCTCGCTGCGTTGAGAGAAACCTTGCTTCACCTTGTCCTTAGCTATGCAGCCAGTTCATATGTTTACCTTATTCTTGGATGTTTCAGATATATTATGGAATAACACAAATTTATTTTCTCCTCTTTCTTTAAAGAAATGTACAGTAAGCTGTGTAAAGAACGAGAAGACAACTAAGGACAAAACAATTAAGAGATTTATATCCTTTCAGGTTCAATCCCACTCTTATTTTTTTTTTTCTTACTGTAACTATTCATGGTCTAGAAAACAACAGGTAAAAATTTTGTTTTCAGTGATTTAATATCTTCTGAAATATTCCCAGCCATCTGCAGCTCAGAATGTAACCCAGCAACTTGTTCTAACTAGTAGACAGCCCTCCGCCTATAGAACCTAATTCCCATTCCCTCTGCATGGAACAGATCACTCTTACGTACATGAGCAACAAGCTGTATTTAGTACTTCAGGTCACCCTAAGCAGTTTCCACAGGGGCATCCCTTGCTTTTCTGTCTCTCATCAGTTGACCGATGGCTTGCAGATGTTTCCGACCCCCTTCATAGTCCAGGATTCTGTTAATGTTTTGGAGATGTTCCTTGTTGGAAGAGAGGCCATGAGGTTTAGCTTGTCTCAGATGATAAGTAATGAAAGCAGAAATCGGTGGGGGTTGATAGGAAACAGTGTAGACACTCTTCATCACTCCAGCTTCTTTCTTGTGCCATTTTTTCATCAGGAGCTCAAGAAGGCCATAATTGGTGGGTGGTTCTGAGACAGGAAATGATTAAATGTTACAAATGGTAGAATTAAGTTTCTGGTCCTAGTGTTTTTACTCCACAGTTGTCACAGGGAATATTTGTACTATTTTGACAGCAGATTAAGGACAAAACAGATATTATTTTTTTTCCCCAGGGCATGTCTGTCTACCCTCTGGCTGGAAGGGAAATCACTGTAGGGCAGCAGTGATGGTATAAATGTGAGGAGACCTCATTCTTCCTAGCCTCTCTGGTAGATAACGTAAAAAGTTAGCAGAGCTGTACACATCACTTGCATTCAGAAACATAATAATACCCTGTGAATTCTCCTGCTAGTTGTATCTCACAGCTCTGCTTGTTTTCCGCTGGTGTCTTGCATTATTGCATAGGGCAGAGAAATCTGTTCATTGGCCCTATCCCTCGCTGCTCCCTGTGGTGATTAAGTATGGTTGTATGGATAACATTTCCACTTTACCAATCAGAAAAATAAGCTACTGACTAGGTAAGAAAGTAGCCAAAAGTCACCACAAGATCCATTTTCAGAGTTAAAACAGAAGGAGGTTCCTGGCTCTAAGTCTATATATTGACCACTGCACCATGTTCCATGTGTTTGAATTAATAATGCCAAAAACTACCAAGAATGGGGAAATCTGATTTCTGAGGAAACCAGGCAAACTTGCGTCCATTCCAGCAGCGGAGGGGAGGCAGCACAGGATTATAACCGTGTCTGTTGTACTCATCATCATACTCCGATACTAAATTTCGGCTTTTTGGTTCATCGTGGTGGCTGAGGAAGTGCTGCACTGGCAGCCCCTGAAATGAGAGGTACATGAAACCATGCTGCTTGTCTCTGTACATAGCATTCGGATGGCTTAGCACTGTACTACCAGTGATAGCACAACATTTTATCAGTACTTTTGTTGGTTTTGTTTATAATTTAATCCCTGAAAATAAGTAATGTGAATTTCCAGTTAAATTAAGCAACTACATCTGTCATGAGATCTAATTAGACTGATTTCAACACATGCATCACGGATTTGCAGATACATTTAAGAAGCTGCAGGTGAAAAGCTGCTTGTCTTGTGCTGCTTAAGTGTTTCGTTGTGCACTAGCATTACATATACTGCCTTCCCACTCTGTCAGGAGAGAACCATAAGAATATTCGGGGGTGGAGAGGCACCTTGGAGGAAGGGATGTTCTAGCAGGTGATACCTGGGGGAAGAGTATTGTTGGGAAAGATCTGGGACCCATTTAAGTGCAGTTCATTCCTGTGAATTGGAGGTGTGCTGACGAAAATAATCCTCTTTTACCAGCAAGCTCATATTATAGTGCACAGAATGTCCTGAAGACACAAACATACACGGGAGCTCCGGACCCTGTAAAGAGGCCACAGAGCTGCAGTGCCTTCTTTTACGCATATAGTTGTTTAAGGATATAAAAGATTATTTAAGTATTAGTCAAAGCTCATCATAGTTTGGAATGTTGGCACACACAGCCCTACATTTGAAATTTCTTTTACTTACCCTGTATTTTTCCATCATGTTTCTCCTTAGCATTTGGTCTGGTTTGTGATCTGGGAAGCAAAGGAAGTCTGTTCTGTATATGCTGCTGCTGCCGAGTTTCCCAGTCTCTTTTATGAACTAGAGAGAGACACAACACTCAGTATAGCTGAGGCAATCTGATCATTACAGCAGCTCTGTTCCAGTGCTGCTTTCTTCATCTATGCATTTAAAAGCACTTATTTGGAAAGAAGCCCATGCTGTGTACTTTTTCTCAGATGGTAAAGTCAGCCGTTGTAAAATTCTGGATTGATTCCTCAGTGTACAGCCCTTGAAAAATTATTCATGGTTTGGTGTTAAATACTTTCACCTGCCATGTGAACTAGCATCTGAAAAGGGCCAATGAACCCCCTTTTTTTTGTCCCTTTGTTCCTACTTCTGCCACAGCAGGCCAGACTCTGCAATGGAGTCTAGCATTTTGCTCCAGCAAAAAAAAAAAAAAAAAGAAAAAGAAAAGAAATCTAAAGGAAGTAATTTTAGCAGAGTTGGGAGGATTTGCCCTAACAGCTCCAATATTGAACCTAACAGTCATGTTTTGACAAAGTTAAATGCCTAGTGATAAAATTTTACTCAGCTCTTAAGCAGGGTATGCAATCTGTAGAGCAGCTCTACTGGCAACGGTGCTCTTGTTTATACAAGCAAATGAAACCAATATCCAAACTATTAAAGATCCTCTGATACAAGAAATAATAAGTATTAACTTGCAGAAGGGTTAATGAAGCCTCTCTTGTATAATGTTGGTATATATTATTAAGTTGTATATATTGTTGTTGTATAGCTGTATATAAGTTGTGTAGCAGTCTGAAGCGATTGCCACAAAAAGCGCTATGGCATTTTTAATCGGACACTGCTGTATCTGATGGAACCACAGCATATAGCCCACGCTCGGGCATTGCTTCTGTCCTGGCTTAGAGAGAAGAATGGCAGATCATAAACAAAACTAATGTAGGCTGAACAAGCTGCTTAACCTTCTCCCTTTTATTTCTCTCCTGAGTTGAGCCTGGACTCTCGCTTATGCCTGCAGCAGTGTACTACCTCCAGACCGCTGCTCCTGACCCACTCTGTTCCTGCTCTCACGCTTCTTTCCTCATCTTACCCTTTTCCTCTCTTCCAGCCAGTTTCCAATTAGAACTTTATTAGAGTATTTGGGTTCAATTTTCCACCAGTCCTGGCCATCCTGTTGCGATGAAATCATATTCCTTCGTCTCACCAGCATTACCCTTCCTGGTTGTTGGCACTGTCCTTCAGGTTATGTGGGTGAAAGATTACTCAGTAGTCCAGTGCTAAAACCAGGGCAGAAAGCAGCTCCACTTCTGCTGTCTCTGTGCTGAGAACCACGGGTGATGTGTGGAACTACCTGGCCGTAGAACGATGTGTGTTTGCTATCCCCCGGGTGACTGTCGTTCCAGTAACCACATTCTAGGTTGCATCATATTCACTGCTGAGCAGTGGTGGCTCCTAACCCTCTAACGTCAGCTCGGTTTTTTATCTAATAGAGCTCAGAATCAGAGTGTGCAGTGTATCTCACAACACTGTGATATAAGTGACGTACTCCTCTGTACCAATACACCACACATACCTGCACAACACACTGTCTCTCTTCACAGACAGACACATTTTATTTTAAACAAGTGGGACAAACCAGGATGTCCATTCAAAACAATATTCTTCTTTATTGACATAGCTAAAGATAAGGGCTTGCAGCATGGTACAAGCTTGTATAAGGTTTGCATATTCCATGTTCCAACTAACAGCTGGAATGAGGTTCTGATGAGCCTTGTTTATCCTTGTTAATGGCTTGATTGACTACCCATCACCTGATATTAAATATCCTAAAAAGATATTTTCCTAGGTTGAGGCATGAACAGACTCGTGGAATCTAAGATATTTACTATAAGCTTTTTAGGAAGTTAACAACGCTGTCCAGTCCTCTTTTCCCAGCTGGAAATGAGAAACCGCAATAATCATGTAGGCTTATGACTCCATGGAATCCATCCTCGAGATGGTACCAGGTCACTGGAACACCATTGTCCTCCAATCTCTTCTTGTAAAGCAAGCCGTCGTCTCGTAGCACATCATACTCACAGGTCAAGATGAAAGATTCGGGCAGCTGGTGAACAATAGCATCTTCAGCTAACAGCGGACACAGGTTGGGCTCACAGAATCTTTTCACTGTCTCATAAACTTCAGCTATAAAATCAGTGGGCCTAAGTGGCTTCACACCTCTGACCTTAAATTTTTCGGGGATGTTATCTGGACTCACCCACTTCCTGTACTTCAGCCTCATATCTGGAGGAATATGAGAGCCCTCCAAGACCTCTTGCATATGCAGGGCATGCCCATTTAGGTACTGCAAAGCAAAGAAAGCGGCACGTTCTCGGAATAAGAGAGGGACTCCTCGATTTTGATGATAGGACGGTAAATTGAAGTCCAGTGCCTGAAGGCCTGGGTAGATCAGGATCTGAGCACGTAGTTTGGGGAGGTCTGATCTACCTGCGAGGGTCTGGCTAACAGCAGCTGCTAGATTGCCCCCAGCACTGTCCCCGCAGACGATGACATTGGCAGGATCCACGCCGTAGTGCTCTGTGTTCTTCAGGAAGTGTATGGTCGCGTTAAGACAGTCTTCATACGCAGCAGGGTATTTGTGTTCAGGGGCTAAACGGTACCTAGTACACAGAAAGAGACACGTGTAAGAGAAGGAAATGTCATGAGTGTTAATCAGGAAATGGTATCCTGGGCTGTCTTCCAGCCCTATCATTTTGGGGTGCTTTTCTTCCAGGTCAGGACACTCATGACCTCCTAAGCAAGCATTCCTCAGTTAGTGATTGCAGGTAAGCCGTAAATTGTGTATTCATTCACAAGGACTCAGCAAAGTAGGGTTGTCTCCTGATTAAGAGTCTGACTGAGACTTTGTACATTTCTGTCATGCTGAAAACGCCCTGTGTATTCTTGACAAGAGAACTTAATCATTTTATGCCTCTGCTTCCTATGTGTAAAATGGGATTAATGCAGTGTGATTTTTCTCTCTTTTTCTATAAATCGCAATTGTTTGGAGCATCTTATTACATCTTCATATGTTCAGTGCAAGGAAGACTTTTTTTTACTGAAGGTTTTGATTGGCTTTTATAGATTTTCTTAGTGTGACAAATATTTCAATTGTTGTCTCTTCTGAGTAGATCAGGGCATGAACAGCTAAGAGCTGTGAGATCTCAGTTACCACTATTTGTCTCTTTATGAACTTAACTGAATTCTACTGAAATTTCTCAGCCCTAAAGGACATCTCCAGAACCAGTGCAGCTCTGCTGTGGCACCACAGCAACAATAATCTCCAAACAGTAGAACTGGGTAGGGTGCACTTACTGGACAGATACAACTACCGATTCACTCTCTCTGGATATGTAGCGGCATACTTTTTCATAGGTATCTGGAAAAGAAATATTTTCATTAGTGCTTTGCTTTGCTCTAATCTTTGAGACAGCTGGGGACTGTTCGTTCCAGAAAGGCATGTATTTGTCTTAAGACTCCCTCCCAATTCACATGCTGAAGCCTCCTCTTATTTCAATTTTATAAAAAGATGAGAATGTTCTTTCTACATTAGTATAATTCCTCCAGCAAATATCTTACCAAGACTTCCAAATACCCAGCCTCCTCCATGAAAGAAGATGATACCTCTCCTTCGCCCATCAGAGTTAGCTTTAGGGTGATAAACCCTCACAGGTACTTTGTTAAACTGCAGATCCTGGATAAAGAGCTTTGGATCCACTCCTAGTTTCCGTCCCTGTCGCACGTATCGGCCAAAAGTGATTTGGCTGCAAAGTCCGGTCTTCTCCAAAATCCTTCCCTGTTAAAGGTAAAAGACATTAAGGCTTCATTAAAAGTCTTGAGTTAGCCAGAGTATAAAAACTCTGCATCATACTTACATTGCACTGTATTTGAGGGAAATTGTAAAGAAACACAGAGTTTAAAAAAAATGTGTCTCAGTCTCATTTCATTTCTACTTGATAACGACAATGAAATGTCATATATAGGAACAGCAATAAAAGATTTAATAGTTCTTCATTGCGTAAACTGTAATTCCTGACTTAGACCATAAAACTCAGTGAATTTCCAAATCTTAAGTGCTGGGTTGTGTTGTGCAAGTTAGTTACTGCTTTTTATTTGCACAACAGATTCACTGAGCAAAATCAATAAGCTTCCTTTCCCAATGCTCTTGCAATGGTCTTGCAACCTAGAATATAAACCTGATGTAATAAGTGAACAAACAAGAGGCTGGGAACCAAATTAATGGAATCAAACAAATAAACTCTTACAGGTCAGTTACTAAACAAGATCCCAATTTTAAATGCCCAGTGAAGAGTCTTTCTTTATCCATCGCCTTTCTGTCACCTGCTGTTGGGATTCAGGAGAGCTGGGTGGCTTTGTCAGTAAATTTCAAGAGGATGTAAATGGTGTAAGAAACAGCGTGGAGGAAAACAAGGTCTGTGCAATAGCAAAGGTAATGATGTGGCTAAAGGAGTGAAGGAGAAAACTGAAGATTTTAAAGAATCAAAAGATACAGCAAGTGACAGAGGAAGAGTTTAGGAGAGCTCTAATGCTGTTTATGCAATGCTGTAGAAGGGAGTCCAGGGATTAAGTAAAGCAGCCCTAACCGGATTTGGTACCATAAATGTCAGCCCTGGCAGGAGCAGCTGAAGGGCTGCAGTTTTCCTTGTGCAAGGTGACTTTGCCTGAAGCTGAGGGCAGTTATCAGACAAAACACCAGCTCAGCTCCGAATTCGAGACTTAAATCAGCACC